CTCCTCCATTCTCCTCTAGGGATCTTGGGCACGCACGCACACGCACCCAGTGTGAGTTTAAGCCACTGGGTCCGGGACTTGAACCGCAGTCAACTACATGGGAGTCCAGTGACATAGCCATTATGCTAACTGCTAGTCCCATTACCTCTTTTCTTTACTCGAGTTTGTTCAATAAGTCTTTCTGAGCCCACAAAGTAATAGATTGCTATATGTTAAAAAAGCCAACTGGGGCCCGAAGTGGCATAGAAGTTAAGGCAGCTGGGTGTCACGTGGCCATTGTACAGTTTGAGTCCCAGCCCTTGTGGCTTGAGAAACACATTGGGTATATGTGTGTACATGCCCAAAGTCACGAGAGGAGAATGGAGTAGAAAGGATTGCAGTGTGGTCATTCCCCCCAGCGGGAGGGAGGGGGTATTTCTCACTCTCTGTTTCTGTGTTTCTCCATTGAGTGCAAATGCCCTAAAAGAAAGAAGAAAGAAAGGAAGGAAGGAAGGGAGGAAGGAAGGAAGGAAGGAAGGAAGGAAGGAAGGAAGGAGGAAGAAAGAAAAAGCCAATTGAATTTCATTTAAAAAGAGAAATGAAAACTTTCAGATTAATTGCTGAGTTGACACGTCTCGAGGTCAGTGACTGCATTTGTAGTTTTTGTTCATCTTACTAAGAAGGTATATAATTCAGGAGAACTTCATTTATCTTAGGGCTGTTATGGGCCATGTGCCCATTCATTACACACATAAATATCAACCCTGGCTGCCAACTTCGTGGTTTTGCCGTTGCCCCCTCATCATACAGATGAGGAAACTAAGGCTCAGAGAGAGAACGTAACTTGTTTAAGATCCTTGATGTGTTTGAAGCTGAGTCAAGTTTTGAATTAAGATCTTCTGACTCTTAAATCAGCCTTCTATGAGTTGTCACTAATCATTCTTTTTAAGGTAGGGAGATATTGTCTCCCTTTATGGATTTTTGAAATTAAGAAACATTTCCAACTTCCTGGAACCAGCAGTAAGCGTAATGGCTATGTCGCTGGACTCCCACATAGTCGACCGCGGTTCGCTTCCCGGACCCGGTGGCTCAGACTCACGCCGGGTGCGTGTGCGTGTGTGCCCAAGATCCTGAGAGGAGAATGGAGGAGAAGGGATTGCGGCATGACCATCCCCCCTGGGGGGTGATTTCTCGCTTTCTGTCTCTCTGTCTCTCTCTGTCTGTCTGGCGAGCGCACGCTCCCTATAGCGAAAACCTCTCGAAAAAAAAAAGAAAAGAAAAGAAAAGAAAAGAAAAGAAAAGAAAAATTTCCAACTCCCTGCCCTTAAGCTTATTTTTTCTCTTATAAAGTAAACCTCAAAGGGGGTCATATAAACAGAGCCAGTAGGGAAAAAGCCTTTCACTCTCCCTCCTTTTTGCTCTTCCCCCTAACTCCTGAAATGCCACAATTTGGGAATCATTCCTTTGTTCCTGATTAAAATGCAGACATGTATAAAAGAGGCACACTGAATCTCATGAGCCGTCAATGTCTGTGCCATCTTGGAACGATCTCATCACATCCCTTATTATATTAGATTGTCAAAAAAGGGGGATGGCAAGATGAGAAACAGACCCGAGAAGTCAGAGCCTGGCTCCAGCCACCCCAACCATCATGCCATGGGCTGACTCTACACTTTGAAAAAGGCTGAAGAACCAGTCCATGGCATGATGGTTGGGGTGGCTGGAGCCCACATGGCCTGCCACACCATTTGGGTTCAGGACCCTGTGGCTTGAGAAACATGCTGAGTGTGTGTGCATATGTGTCCAAAATCTTGAAAGGAGGGAGAAATGGAGGAAAATAGATTGAGGTATGATCATTCCCCCAAGGAGAGGGGTGCTTTCTCACTTTCCCTCTCTCTGTCTCTCTCTCCAGTGAGCTCACACACCCTCTGGCAAAATTAAAAATAATTAAATTAAAAAGTTTAAAAATCTGGGGACCAGCAGGTGGCATGGTGGTTAAGGTGCTGGACACTCCCACACGGTCGACCGTGGTTCAAGTCCCAGACCTGGTAGCTTACGCGCTCTCTCTCTCTCTCTCTCTCTGGTCAAATTAAAAAAAAAAAGGGAACGAATAAATAAAATTAAATAAATAATTATTTTTTGAAAAGTTTAAAAGTCTAAAGGTTTATACACTCTGAAAAGAAACCATAGTATGCTGACTGTCCACTTTAGAAACCATATTGCCACAGGCAGAAAGTGCACAACTCACTTCAAGATGGCTTTGACATAAAGGAACAGCCCTTGTGAGCCCCACCCTGTGGAAAAGCTGCCCAGTGACCTGGGCCCGTGATGATTTACTCCAATTGCCCAACACCCTGGGAGTTCCTTTGCTTTGAGGAGAGCAGAGATTTTCCAAAGGCCAGCGCTGTATTTCTATTTTTTGTGCCATCCTTCAGTTTGTTTTCTTATACAGAGTGCTGATGTTTCCAGGCATGCTGAATAGCCAGAAAACAATTGCTCACCAAACCAACTATTGATAATTTTCAAAGCAGAAGAAAAAGAAGTGAGACTTGCTTTCCAAGTATGAGATCACTTTTAAAGTTCATTTTCTCTTCTCTTCACCTGCATTTGCTGCATGAGAGAACACACAAACCACACCTCGAACTCTAGCTCATGCTAGAGAAATCTGGATTAGCAAAGGGGTTTAAAAAAAGAGAGAGAGAAGATGAAACCAAGAAGTACAACATGCCATTGCCTTAACCCTGACCCTGAAACCCAGGACAAGAGCCGACGGTTCTGACTTAGGGAGGAGAGTGAAAATGGGTGTGGAGATGTCAGACCTGGACAATTGCTGGTCTGCTTAGATTTAGGGTGGGGCGAGTTTCTGGGAATGGGAGAAGAGGGGCTTGTTTCCATGGCTGGGTCATACACAACCACACTCTGTTCTTTAGGTGCACCGGCCGCATTTCAAGGGCTCCATATTTACATGTGGTAAGTGGCTACTACTTAGAACATTTCCAGTACTGCAGAAAGTTCTACTGAACAGCCCTGCTGTAGATTCCTGGTGCTCCCCATGGTGATCGCAGACGTCATCCTCCTGACGTCAAGGACTAAGGTGTCTGCAGTGGCATAGGTGCTCTCAGGTGAGGGCAATGCTGATGGGAGGTCCAGTCCCAGGGCAGGGAGACGATGGAGACTCCCTGGGGGAGGTAAGATTTGGGCATCTCCCCACAGCGTGCTCTCTCTCCCAGTTGGGAAATGGTGGCCCATAAGGTTTGGGGGCAGCTTGCCCAGCTCTCAGGCCCACATTCCAGAACAGGGCCCAGTATATAGAGGGGCTTATTGATGTTTGCTCTGGTTAAGAGTGTAAGCAAGAGAGGTCAATAGGAAACCCTGAGATTTCTTTTTTTGATTTGACTAAATGATATCGAAGTTACCTTTTGGATCTGAAAGTTTATGAATCTTTCCAGGTAGTTAAGAAAATTCTTAAAGAGCTTAAAAATCTTTAGAAGTAGTTAGAAGTGGAGTTTTAGGCTAGTAAACAAAAACATAAACTAACACCAGCATTATCTGAAATTAACATTTTGTGTTAAAATGTTATTAAAAACAAAAACTAGATTTAGGACCTGCGGATCCTGGTAGGTAGATTAACTGGTGAAGAGTGAAAATAAATGATGTGAGAACGACATTGGGCAGATACAACTAAGTTGTTGACTTATTTCAACTGACACATCTTTTAAGCAGGACTGTTAGCAGAGAAGAATTGCGAATAAAGTGCCTCACAATCCCATTGCGAGTCAGCAGGACCAAATGCCTTCTGACAAGACAGGGGGACTTTATTTCTGCCAGTGTGAGGAACAGATTACCAACAAAGATTATGACCAGTTCCTTCGCATTTTCTTTGGCTTTTCTTGCTCCACAAGGAAACCGGGAGTCTGTCTGTCTGCGATTTTTTTTCTTTTTTTTGGAAAGGTTTTTGCTATAGGGCACGTGCACGTGCCAGACAGGGAGAGACAGAGAGACAGAAAGTGGGAAATCACCCCCCAGGGGGATGGCCATGCTGCAATCCCTTCTCCTCCATTCTCCTCTTGGGATCTTGGGCATGCACGCACACGCGCCCGGCGTGAGTTTAAGCCACCAGGTCTGGGACTCGAACTGCAGTCGATTACGTGGAAGTCCAGCGACATAGAGAACGACATTGGGCAGATACAACTAAGTTGTTGACTTATTTCAACTGACACATCTTTTAAGCAGGACTGTTAGCAGAGAAGAATTGCGAATAAAGTGCCTCACAATCCCATTGCGAGTCAGCAGGACCAAATGCCTTCTGACAAGACAGGGGGACTTTATTTCTGCCAGTGTGAGGAACAGATTACCAACAAAGATTATGACCAGTTCCTTCGCATTTTCTTTGGCTTTTCTTGCTCCACAAGGAAACCGGGAGTCTGTCTGTCTGCGATTTTTTTTCTTTTTTTTGGAAAGGTTTTTGCTATAGGGCACGTGCACGTGCCAGACAGGGAGAGACAGAGAGACAGAAAGTGGGAAATCACCCCCCAGGGGGATGGCCATGCTGCAATCCCTTCTCCTCCATTCTCCTCTTGGGATCTTGGGCATGCACGCACACGCGCCCGGCGTGAGTTTAAGCCACCAGGTCTGGGACTCGAACTGCAGTCGATTACGTGGAAGTCCAGCGACATAGCCATTACACTAACTGCTGGTCCCTGTCTGCGATTTAATATAGGGTTTTCCAGAGTTCTTGAATTTGTCTGAGCCCTCTGTGAGGAAATGCGAGGTTGAAATCAGGATGACTGAATAACAGCCCCAGAGCTTCCACCTTAGTCCTGAGAACAGGATGATGATAGAGAAGGTCTTAAAGAAGAGATTTGGACAGTTCAGAGTAAAGGAGAACAGAACAATCGCCATATTCTAAATGACAAAAAAATAGACAGACTGTTCATCGAGAATGTGGCTCCATCCCTTTTCCTCCCAGGAAAGCAACCCAGCCCCTGAGAGGGCACTGTGCGCCCGCAGTGTCTACTCACCGAGCCTCTCCTGCTGAGCCGCCCAGGCTGCGTCTGCGCCAGCGCAAGGTGTGCTACCCTGCAGCAGCCCTCGGAACCTCCAGGCAGGCGAGGGTGGTCTGGGAATGGGAGGAGGCACCAAACACGGGCTGAGCCTGATGCTGCCTGAACCTGCCTCCCTGAGGCGGGGAGGAGCAGGAAGCTCCGCCAGCAGACCTCTGCTGCTTTGGAATGTGTGACTCTGACCGGCTCAGTTCATCACTTCTCTGGGTTTCTCCTCGGTCTGGACTTTATGCCAACAAAACCTCAGGGATTTTGCTTTTACTTTGATTTGTTTGTATTAGTGTATTTTGATCTTTCTGCTTGTGTGTGTGTATGTTTAAAGGCTTGTCAGTGTGCCAGCAGGTGGCATGGTGGTTGGGGCATTGACTCCCTCATGGCTCACTCCATGGTTCAAGTCCTAGACCCAGAGGCTTGAAGAAACAGATCAGGCATGTGTGTGTGCATGTGTGTGTTGTGTGTGTCCAAACTTCCAAAAGGAGAATGGAAGAGAAGGGACTGTGGCATGGCCATAACCCCTGCAGGTGATTTCTCACTTTCACTTTTTCTCTGTCTCTCTCCAGCAAGTGTACCCACCCTCTAGCAAAAAACTAAAAAAAGGAAACAAACAGAAAAAACAGACTTGCTAGTACCTGACCACTCATAGTGATGCTGATACATGCTTAGCTGTACAGGGACACGTTCATCTTCTGTTTCTGGAATCTTCATGTACTATATTAATGGGGTAGGAATTGCTCACCTAATGCTCACCAGCCTCAGACCGTGTACTAGGGAGGCCTCCAGTCACTGATCTAGAACCTGTCCGCGTGGGTCAGCCTTGTAGAACATCACGTTTTATCAGTGTACCCTCATACAGCCCTTGCATTTGGTAGTCTAGTAGTGGGATTATGTGAGGGGCAAAATAGAGAAGAGCTTGGAAATCTTTCTAAAATATGTAACCTGAACACAAAACCCAGTAACAAGAGGCAAGAGACTAGCTAGGAAAAGGGAAATTAGTTTTCAGATAGAAACTAGAGTTGATTAGATGAGAATTTCAAATCTTTTATGCTTTTGTTTTCTGATCATTCCTTTTTTTAAAAAAAGAATTATTTTATTTAACTTTATTTACTTACTTACATATTTATATTTGAGCAGAGAGAGACAGAGTGAGAGAGAGAGAGAGAAAGTGAGAAAACAAACCACCAGGTCCGGGACTCAAATCATGGTCAGCCACGTGGGAATCCAGCGCCTTTAACTACCTTGCCACCTGCCGGCCCCTGATCATTAATTTCTAGTTCTCTTCCTCTAATCTCTTCTATCCTTTTGACTAGGTGCCTGAACCACATCTTAACCTGCTTCCAAACTCATCATGAATTTTCATTACTAGGAATCGCAGTTTTGGGACCAGCTTCTTGGCTCACTGAGTAAGGGAGCCAGATCCCACAAGGTTGACAGCTTGGTTCGAGTAGAGTCCTGGCCCTCGTGGCTTGAAAAATATGCCAGGTGCACACCGGAAATCCGAAGAAGATAGAGAAATAGAGGAGAAGGGATTGAGGTGTAACTATGCCCAATTTGGGGGTGTTTTCTTCCTCTCCCCCTCCCTCTCTGTGGCTCTCTGGTGAGTAGACCCTCTGGCAAACAAACAAACAAACAAACAAACAAACCCACAAAACCAAAACAACAAAACCAAAACAAAGGACCATCTTCCCCAATCTCAGTTCTGTTTAGAAAGACTTAGATGTCTTCCTCTTGTCACCACCAGACTTCAGAGTCCAGTGGTTGGGAAACTGGAGGGCAGGGATCCTTCTCTTTAAAAATGCCCCTCCCAATTCACTGCATGTCCTTTCCTGAGAGGGAGAAATGATGTCATTTTGTGTGACTGGCCTGATGGAGGCTGCTGTCCCTTCCTGGTGGTCATATCCAACTCACCACCAGCAGGCTCAGTGTAGACAGAGGTATGTGGACAGGTATGACTGATGAGAGTTCTGCTGCTCACCCTGGTCCTCTGAGCACCAGAGGGTGCTCTGCCTCCTTCAAGGGCGTGCAGCCAGTCTGTATCCTCCAGTCTTACCTACACTGCAGGACTCCAGTTCTCCAGGTGGATCCTTCTCTGACACATCTCAGGAACCTAGAGCAAAAGTGGGGTACACCCCTCCCTGCCTGGCTATAGCAGCACACCATCACCCTCTAGTGGTTTTCCATCTCTGTGGTAGTTCCAAGGCAAGTTAACAAGCCAGGCCACTGATGTCACGAAAGCTGCTGGTCCGGACCAGGATCTGGGTTCCACATGGCTGACTGCAATTCGTTTTGTTTTGTTTAAATTTTTCTATAGAGTACATGCACTCTCTGCGGGAGAGAGAAAGTGAGAAGGCACACTCCAGGGGAGTGGCCAGAACACAATGCCTTCTCTGTTTTCCTCTCAGGATTTTGGGCATGCAGGCACACACATGCCAGTGTGTTTTCCAAGCCACTGGATCTGGGACTTGAACTGCTCAGTAACCATGTTGGGATCCACCTGCCTTAATCACTATGCTACATGCTGGCTCTCAACTACAATTTGAATACCAGTCCCAATGTCTGAAAATACATGTCAAACACATACAGCATGCATGCCTGGAGTCCCAACTAGACGGGGAAATGGAGGAGAAAGAATTGTGGCATGATCATGCCCCACTAGGGAGTGCTTACTCCCTCTCCCTCTTTCTTCCTTTCTCTCTCTCTCTCTCATCTGTCTCTGATGAATGCATGTACCATCCGGCAATTAAAATATTTGTTTTAATTAGATAAAAAATGTTGGTCTTATATATACCCTCAAGCTTTCTGGTTCTCATGGGGCTTCTCTCTCTCATCTTTGGGGCAAGGAATGCTGGAATGTTTCTTTTCACAAACACTGCACTCTCTAAACAGACTCCTTACTTTAAATTCACTTTCTTATCAGAGAAGGAGGGAGTTGTAGAGCAAACTGGGTGGGAAAGTGGCTGGCCCCTTTTCTGGAAGTTTTCTAAATTAAGGATGTGGGTTAATGTCTTTTGCTCTCTCTATTCACCAGTTTCAGGATAAAGACTTCTCAAACCATGCTGTTGTTTTAGCATATTTTCAGTAGATACTAAAAGTTCCAGGTATTGTCAAATCTACTCTTCTCCAAAGCCCTGAGAGTGTGTACTATTCTTCTACCACTTTATAGATGAGAGAACTGCAGACTGAGGAGGTCAACGGCCCTGGGTTACAGAGGTACTCCCATTGGCCTGTCCTCACAGCCCGCACTTCACTTCTGAGTGTAGTCAGATGATCAGGATGACTTTTAAGGTGGTATCAAAAATTGAAAGCACTAATATGATTTTTTCCCTAATAGCTGCTTAACAAGGCTAATAGAGAGTAGAATGTTGTTCCTGAGATACGGAAGAACCCATCTTCTGGGAAACTGGCTGAAGAGTAAATCTCAACTCCCTGCAGAGTGGAGTAGGTCCCTGATCAGAAGTCAGCTTCTATATTAAAGACAGCTAAGTCAGACTTGCAAACCATGTGTCTGAAATAGCTAGATGAACACATTACTTTAGGGCCTCCCCCAGAATTGTCTTTTACTCCTGCTAGTCTTGTCTCATTTTGAAAATAATTTCTTGTACCAGCAGATGGCATAATGGTTATGTCGCTGGACTCGCATGTAATCGGCTTCAGTTTAAACCCCAGACCTGGTGGCTTAAAACTCATACTGGGCATGTGTGCATGCATGCCCAAAATCCTGAAAGGAGGATGAAGGAGAAGGGATTGTGGTGTGGCCATCTCCCTGGGGGGGAGGGGAGTGATTTCTCGCCTTCTGTATCTCTGTCTCTCTGTCGAGGGCACACACACTATAGCAAAAATCTCTCTAAAAAAAAAAATCCCGAAATATATCAACTCTGACTTTTGACTGTTCATAGGTTTTTCTCTCTTACCAGCAATCTCCTGTTCCACATTAACTGACATCCCTTACAGCCCCTTGAGCTCCCAGATATCATAAATGCTTCCCTCAGTTCATATGCTTAGATTATGGCCACTACAAAATAACTTCTTAAAGTAGGACTAGACCTTGTCCAAAAAGGAATATCCCAGTATCAATGGGAAGGATTTTCAGCTCATTTCAATCATTTATACTTATTACGTGGGATTAGTATAGAAAAAAGCCCCATATTACAATAAAAGTCAGTTTGCCCAATTTTTCAACCAATGAAGAGAACTCATTAATATCTCTAATATTTGATATTAAGGGGCAACTCTATGAAACTTACAATGGTGGTCGTAGTGATATTTTTTGAGGAAGTTGTGTACACTCTTAACATTTTGGATCTAAGCGGTCCTAAGGATTAACCTCTCTGGTGTCAGTATCTGAAATAATTACACTTTTCCTAAGCAATCAGTTTGTTTTATCTGTTGGACACTATAAATCTTCAACCAAATTCACCTTTGATTCCATTCTCACTATTCCATTGAAACTGCTTCTCACGTTACAAATCACCTCTCTTTTGCCAAAGCCACAGACAGTGCTTTGTCTGCACTCACTCCGTCACTCAGCGGCAATTGATACAGCCCACTGCTCCGTTCTCCTTGCTACGCTTCCCTCCTCCGCTTTCGTATCTCATGTTCACTGCTGCATTTCTCTGGCTGTTCCTTCTCAGTCCCCTTTGTCTCTTCCTTGGCCTGCTCAATTTTGTTAGAAGACTTCAGGATTGGGGGCCAGCTCGCAATTCTGAGTCTAGTTCTGAAACTGGCCTTCTCTCAGAGTCAGGTGCACACCTTCACTGCTTTCTGCTTCCTGGTAAGAAGTTCAAAAAGGTGAGGTGACTCTGGATTTAAGTGTGATAGTGGGCCTTCCGGACTTCTGCCTTATGATCAATAGTGGTTCTCTTTCCCCTGGAAACTTTTTTCTTTCCTTGGCCACCAGTTTTTGAAACACAGTAAATTAGGTTGTGGCTTTTCTTAATTTGATATTTGATAAGTAAATATCCTTTTGACTTTCAAAAATGTGTATTTTATAGGCTTTTGGATGTAAAAGATTCTATGATGTAGATTACAGCCAGTCTAATCAGAATGGTTCTGAGATTTTTAGAAATATAACTA